GGCCGCCTCCACGGCACCCGGCTGAGGTCGAGGTGCGGCCCGCCTCCCTCACGGACACCTGGGCTGTAACTTAAGCCGCAAACACATTTTCTAACTATCCGAATAGGGAGGTTTTGGAGTACCAGTCTGCATAAACGCTGTATCGATTAAGTTGATTAATTTATTAAACGAATCAAAAAACTGATTATCAAGTTGTTGCGTGTGAGACCAGAGTATCCAGCTCCGTGATGTTGGCCCTTTCTTCTAACTTTATCTTCCTTTAATTCCTGCATCAGAACATCCACTGGAGCCTTTCTCATGGGGAACCACAGAACTATTTGTGAGCTTTTGTTTCAAGTCATTTTTGCTTCCATGGAAATCAACAGAGCAATTTTAGTAGACAACACAGTATATTCTGGTACAAGTAGCTAGACTGTTACTTCTGTCTTCGTATGCAAGACCATGGCAGCTCATCCAGTTTCACTACTATCAGCGGGGCTTACTTGATGCATAAGCAAGATGGGGCAGCCAAGTATTAGTCCCGGTCTTGCTGCTCGCCAACCTGTGCTACAGCCCTGGAAAGAAAACTTGCTGCTGCCACTGAAAAAGCAGCGCAGGTGTGTGAGATGGCAACCACTACTGCAGCAGAAAGCGCATGGCCCCTCTCCTTCCGCTCCTACCAGCATCAGCTGCTGCTCTGACCCCATCCCCAGCAGTCAAATCATGGGTGACCCCGTGCTTTTTTCTGGGGGTGCCAGAATGCAATTTTGCCTATATGGATGAAAAGTGTCATCTAGCTCTGGCTGTGAAATATTGCTTGTGACTGTTAGTGAGTAGGAAGGAACTGAAGCAACTCAGAAGCTGAAATAACAGCTATGTTAACAAGGCTGTTTCTTCAGACCATGTAATCTTCTAAGGCAATATCGTAACGACTACTAACCTAATTATAATCTTGATGTAAAATCTAAGACTGAGTACTGTGAAATGACAGAAATGACTGTCAACTCTACTCAGTTTCATTCATCCATGGAATACATATGAATTTCAGTGTCCACTTAAAAATCAAATAATCATGTGTTTGACATTTAGCTGGAATGGTGTGTATGTACATTCCCAAATTTATATAGCCATTTGGTAACAGGTGACACAAAATTCCACATTAAGAGTAATATTTATCAGTAAATAAAGGCAAAGACTGAGTATGCCAGACTCCTGTTTGCTATCTCTTTGACTGACAAGTCTCTGCGGATGGAAGATTCTTTCTCCTATGAATGAAGGCTCCTGGACAAGCCCATGAAGTTACCAGCTCTTTACTTATAAACTCCAAAGCATCACCTACTTGTTTTAAAATAGCAACAATGATGAATGATGCCACTTTTTTTTCTACAATAAGTGTGTGCTATATTCCACATCTCAAAAATACTGTTTTCTAACTTCAAACTGCAGTATCTCCAAATTATGAAGTTACAGGATGAGATATGCTTGTGAGAGGTAGTTAATTTGTCCTAATTGTCATAAATACATTGTTATATTATGATAATTCAGTGTAAATCAGAGCACTGATTCACAATCCCTTGAGAAGTCAGTTTAGGCTTAAATTTTCAAGTCTGCCTCACATTCAAGTTCATCTGACTGATTCCCAGAGTGCATATTTTTCAGGCTGCCAGTGGTCCTGAGTAGACAAATGATACTGGCTGTATTCCCTGCTTCCAGATGTTTCTCCGGACCTTCTGGGTCAAAGAAATGGAATGCTCTGCAGAGGCAACTCCGAATAAGATGACAGGAGGACGCACTGGAACTGCACTCAACACACAGGAGAGGAAAATCCATAATAAAAAGAAACCAGGGGAGCAGATGAGGACCATAGCGGTAAGAAGAAGATGTATCTGACAGGTAATGTAAACTGCCAGAGAAATCCAGGCAAAAAGAAAGTGGTTTGAGATAAGAGAAAGAGAGATAAAACAGAATTTGAAAAGGAAGAGATGAATTAAAAGAAAAAAAAGATTTTTTTTTAAATTTTTTGCTCCTAAAAGACAATGAAGAATGACCTGGTACTATTAAGACAAGCTACCACTGATTTTGTTATACATAGAATTGCAAGTTCTTTTTTCTTCACATGCAAACTATTATTAGTGCTGTGTTGTTATAGTTTCATTCTGCATATCACACTGTTTATTTTCTCCGTGAGTCTCCAATCAGTCAATTCTTGGACTGCGCACAGATGTGCTGAAAGTCCTGGAAGGAGGCTTTCTCTGCACACTTTTGTTCATCTCAGCTTTAGGACTTGGATGACAATTAAACAAGTTACACAACAAGACACCCAGAGTCTTTTTTGGGAAGCAGGCAAACAAGGGCTTTTTTTGCTTATGAGCCCAGCGTCAAAATAGGACACTAGTATCGGAACAAGAAGCAACAATACTTTCCTAAAGTTAGTTTTCCCTGAAGTGAATTCCATGATTACTGCCGAGCTGATACGTGACCATGATTTTCTTTGTTGAGATGTGATTCATAGCATTCAAAGGACTGGAAACTTCCATCTGACCTTATTTTTAGTTCAGATGTTTAGATCCCCATTACCAGTCACAGTTGTCTCACTGAATTATGTACTTCACCAACTTCTTCCATGTCCTCATTATATGTAAAATTCTATTCAAATGTTTGCACATTCCCATGGAAACAATTCTCATTCATTCAAAATAATTACCTTGAAAATCTACACAGTGCTGATGAAAACAGAAATGTTGGATATCAATTTTGTGATCAAATTCATAATACCTATTCACCTGGCATGTTTTCAAAATTATCATTCAAGTGCTGCTGAACTCATATCCCCTTTCAGAGGAATGTCAAGAGTTATTTGCTATTCATCCTGCTCAACAGAATAAGATAATCTGATTGCCTGAGTAAAATCATCTAAAACATACACAGCAAACACAACTTATTTGCACAGTTGCAGTCTGTGTGTTGCTGCTGTCATATTTTCCTCAAGCTTTTTACTAATTACTATTTCAGAAATTTGAAATCCCAATCAGAAAATACTATTTATATCAGAGAATATTCTCTTGCATCAAAAGAATAAATCCTGGAAGTGGCCTGTGTTAAGGCCCCTTTGTCTCAGTTTACATTTTCCGGATTTGGATTTGGATAATTTGGATGTTGTTTAGAGGTTAGCAATTAAGGAAATTATGCGAGTGACAGGCCAAATTATGGTATCCGTGTTGATTTTATCATTCCACACAAAATATGGACATGGCACCTCTTGCCACAGTATATGGGAACACGGAACATGAATTCAAGTGGTAGTAGTAACATCAACTCTGGGGTACTAAAGCTCTGTGAAGCAGGGAGGAGAATAAAGGAAGATCATATAAAATGCGTCTGAAAAATCTGCCTTTTGAGGTGTCATAATATGTTTGCACACAGAAATTTCAGTATTTCAGAAAATCTCCTAGGCGACCATCATTTTTTCACATCATTACAGATTTTTCTCCTTTGTTAATTCACGTGGCTGCAAAAGACCTGAAAGATGTCCCTGTCAGTCTTTGCACCCTTACCTTTTGGTTTGATTGGTTGGAAGCCCTCTTAAAACAGGCATGTACTGTTTAAGCAGTCTTGCTCTTATTCACTTCCTCTTGCTTTATCTTGACACCATAAGCTTATGCAACATCGTATCACAAAACACCATGAAAAGAAATAATGACAGGAAACCACAAAAACTGCTGTGCCCCCCACCAATTCTTCAGGTTTATAATTTTCATTTTATACCTAGGAAGGACTGACCTGTATGTGTGAGCCTCTCTGTGGGAACGATTTGTAAGGGGGCTTCTTCCCCTTAGAGCTTATCCATACTGTGCAATGCGCCACAGCGTTGAGCTATCCTAATAAATACACAGTAAGCTGACTTGGGTATCACAGCAGTAAAAAAGAACCTGGGTGAACTAGGAAGCCCACAGACATGGCTATTACACCTAATGTGCTTCTAATACTCAGCCATGCTTGCTTAAAACTACTTTCAGGTATCTCTACTCCTCAGTGCATTGTGAAATATAAAGCACAGCCATTCCGAAGACATAACACACCACAAGTTGTCAGAGACTCCATTTGTCATTTTTATGATCAGAAAGGCACAGGAGGTTGTTTTGGTCTTACAAATGGGCTGCAGTAAAGAAACCTTATCACCTTTTTCCAGAAACCATGTCTTACCATGTCTTTTGTCTGATACCCTAAATCTGGAAATGAAAGGAAAATTAACTGGCCAAGGCTCAATCTTGACTGGACTTGCATGACAGTAGCTGTCAGTGAGAAGCCCGTCAGAAATCAGTATTCGGGCCTTCTCTCTTTAGATCATACGTATTCACAGTCTACGTATAGTCTTACTCCAGAGTTTTCATGGTCATGTATTGAATCTGAGCCTGAGTACAAGAAAGCACTTACATGCTTGTTAACCTTGTGCACATACCTCAACTAAAATATATTCTTGAATGCCTTACTGAATAAAGGCAGGACTCTTTAGCAGTCCCATGCACCTGTTATCTATGAATATTATATTTTAAAAGGGACAGGTCATCTCCATTGGCTTATAAGGAGAAAACCAGTGGTTGTGAGGTTACAGTTGAAAGTGTGGTACAAGTACATAAGAGGATACAGTTTCTGAGCTCACCTGAATGTTGGAATTATATCTGTGATTCATCATTATTGCCTGCACAGGCTGCAGAAAACCTGCCCTTTCTGCAGGTTTAGCAAAAATAACATCTCTGATTGGTTCAGCAAAGTAGAACTAAATCACTTACGAAAGAGTAACAGAGAATAATTTCTGAATGGATTTTTCCCTCAAGACAGCAGTATGTACAAACCAGCCATATCTTATATTTTATTTTGACCTGTGTTGTAAAGGATATTCAGAACAGCAGAATGCAATTCCAACTTTCATTAATTCTCTAGTAAGAACAGGTGTTCATTATTCAAACTGTGTTTCTACTGCATATTCTATTTATACATTTCTTCTTTGCTGAAGATTTAGAAGCACCAACTCCTTTGGAAGAAAGTGCATTTTGGACATTCTTTATATTCATATGACCATAGAAAAAGATTATCTGCAGCCTAATGATGGGCATTATTCTTTGTAAGTTGGAAATTGTGACATTGTTGATTTAAAAGAATTGTTGAGCACATTATGGAACTCAGAAGTGTGTTTTAATCATTTAGTGTGTTCCTGTTGCTCTTATTATCCCAATCCTGCTTATTCAGGTTATCAGCTATTTAACATTGAAAAAACCCTCTGCTGCGGCTTTAATTATATATTTTAATTGTCAGTATTTCTGTGTAACAACATATGGTTCTTACTGCTGTTCAGTTTATAATTAACAGGAAAAGGAACAACAGTTCTTCAGTGTCTACATCTTCAGATTTATACCACTAAGTCAGTGCTCCATCATGCAGTACTTTTTAGTTCTATCCAGAAATTGAGCAATAACATCATGTGTATTGTAAAATTTTACATGTAATCTACTAGAAGATCCATATAAAACAATGACTACGAAGAATGGGCTTCCTCTAAATGTTTAATTAGGAAGAACTAAATTTTGATCTTTTGTCAGAATTTCTGCCAGGATAACGTATTAGGAAGGAATGTTAGCAGTTCAGTTTCCTTTTAAGTATTATTTTTTAACCATTGCTGAAATTTATTTCAGTACTTTAGAGAGCATTTTTGTGCAGAGCTAGTGATATTATTTTAATGATAAGTTGGTGATATCAAGGAACAAAGAAGAAGTAATTCACCGCAAAGACAGGCAAGGGAGGAATCACATCTCAAGGGGAAAGAATTTGCTGTTGGCCAATACCAAGAGCAATTTTCTCCTCCGCCTTAACTCAGATCTGCTGGACAGTGTGTGGGCAAGCTGAGTGGAGGATCTACTCATTCCCAGCCACTTCCTGCTCACAACCGCTACTGAGGAGGAGGAATGCACAGCAGTTCACTAACTGTGCTCAGATCTCCGACGTGAATAGCCCATACAAGGAAGCAAGGGGGTACCACCATAAAATTCCTCACTGATGTAGCAATGAGTATCTTACGTTTAGTGATTAATGAATCTGAATAGCTTGATTCTCTTAATTTCACGGGTATAAATGGAACTATTTCTTACTGCACAACTTCCTGTATCCACCATCTGTGTTTACACTTTGGGACTTCTACCCTTTCTCTGAAGGTGGGTTCTTGTCGGTTCAGTCAGCACCAATGGCTCTTGAATAACAGTTGCTGAATAATTTTTTCCTAAAAGTTCAACTTCCAAATTCTGTCCAACTTTGCTGAGTTCTGTGGGAACATATGCAAAAGCCAGACTCTGCTGAGCACTGTAGCTGAAACAGCCAGATGTGGTGTTGCCAATAACCTGAAAAAAGAAACAAACATTCATCTTTATTTTCAACACACAGTGGGGTTTCCAAAAAAAAAAAAAAAAAAGATATACATCATAGATACTAGTTTCTGTTTATAAACTTTATACATCACGTATGTTTTGAGTGTGTCAGGCAGTTCATAATTTTCTTCACTGTGGGTGACATCACCCAAAATTGGGATTTTTTTACTCCTTAAAAACCTAGTCTATTCTTATTGTGTTCACTTAACTTTTCAACTGAAACAAACACTATTCACATGTGTACATTTATATATACAATAATTTAACTGCTAATGAAGGCTTCAATACCTAATCTGTGTTGAAGTATGGCACGTTAAACTTTGTTGGTTTGTCTTCTTTGAAGTGAATAATAAAAGTGATGTTAGGAGAATGGTGAACTTGCAGGAGAAAAGAATAGGTGACCTAATACTGTAGTCTGTTCCAGCTCTAGTTTCTGTAACCTAATAGTATTTCACATTTTATCTGTAAATATATACAGTTAGTCTTTGCCTCCTGCTTGAAGATCAGAAAATAGTATCACAGCTTCAAGCTGTTCTGTGCCAGTAAAACAAATATAATACATTCACACTTGAAACACAAAGTTAGATTCTGTTCATGGAGAATTAACTTTAGTTTCTTGTAACATGATCTACAGCCCTTACCTTGCCATTATGCCACACACTTTCATTTCCCTCTGGATCAACATTTTCTGTTTCCAAGGTGAGGTATGCCAGCCGCCGTTTCAACCCCTTTTCTTTAATCTGCTTCAGTGCTTGCTTTCCTATAAAGTCTGCTGGCTGAAAAAACATAACATAATGATGATAAATGGTTACTCAGGTTTTGCAATAAGGCTAGAGATGCAAGCATTTAAATTTGTCTTCATTTGTTTTCCTGTTGCTTAAATGTTCTATGTGAAATACAGATTAAATCAAATCTTTGACAGACGTTATATCTTGACTATAAAAAGTGATATGATTGGTGATTTTTTCAGTATATTAATTTGTCTGGATCACAGTCCTTTAATATCCATAATTCCAAATGTAGTAGAAATACATACATAGTGAGATATGTATGTTACAGCAATATTTGCCCAGTTAAGGTTGTGAGCCAGAAAACTGGACTTCATTCCAGTTTCTATTAAAAAACTGAATTCCATTACACAGATCCTAAAGCCATGGCCTCCTTCAGTGGACACTCATCTTGTTTGATGCTATCAGCAAGCGTGACAGTAACTTGTTACCATTCCACTTTAGTGTCTCTGTGCAAGGATGCAGAGCTGGCAGTTTGCTCCATATTCTTGTTGTAAGGTCTTTTTTCCTGTATCTGTTATTTTATGGGATAATGCAAATGTTAGCTACAGAATACTGTCATTTGAAGTTCCCCTTTTTCAGCTTCCCTAAAGAGCTATAAGCAGATCCTCACATTTCTAGAAACAGATTGTGTAAATGTGCGACAAGCACTGGAGAAGACATCTGTAAGCCTCAGTAATCCTAAAGAATATAGTAGAGAGTATTTATTGTATGTGACAATGTGACCTCATAGCTAGCCTGATTCCACTGCCAGGTTCACGGATATAAGCCAGTTTTGCCTACCTCTGGCTCTGAACTTGATTTGTCTCACACTATTGTCTCCCACGTCTTTAATATCACTCAGACCACTTCCTTATTTAGTTAACACTTGGCTGGGAAGAGAATAAATTGGAAAAAACAGGCCACAGAAAGAAGAATGATTATAAACTTTGTGATCCAGGACAAGGCCTCAAGTGCCAAGAAGAAGCCCCTTTCAAAGATGCTGACAGTTGGGACTGGGAATAAAATAGTAATCAGGCTGGATTATTAGTCATTATGGCTAATAACGGTGCAGTAAATATGAGGAACAGTGTGTTACAAATTCTGACTATGGAATTTTTCGTTAAAGATGTAGATCTGGCAGAACAAAAGACTTGTATTCAACTCATTTGCCAGACAGACACCATCCTGCCCCCAGGCAAGAGACTGTAACAGCAGTTATAAGCTTTTGCAGCTTTCCAGCCTTTGCTGAGAAGATAGGTAGCAGTGAAAGCTATTTTAAGACAGATGGTCCTGGGTCACTGTGACAGCTCTTGTAAATCTGAAGCAGGAATTCTATTCGTTTGCTAAGTGTTTAAGGAAAAAAAAAAAAAAAAGAAGTACTCCTGAAAATGCCAATAATACTATTTCTGGTAATGTTCTTTAATTTCTGTAGAGAATCATAACGCTTAGATCCTAGAAGCAGATTTAAATACATTTGTAGTTTGTGTTCTGCTTCTGGAGTGGAATTCAAGGGGTTCTAAAGTGCTGCAGCCTGAGAACTGTTCACTGGGACACTGAATTGTTATTTTGCAGTAAAAGCAATCAGAATTACAACCAAAACATTATAGTTGTACTTCGAAATAGATTATTATGCAGTTAGTTCATGTGTTCTTATTTTTGTAGGTCTTGTTCAGCTTCCTGTATTTCTATGTGTAGGCTCAAAAGAAATTAAGTGCTGATGAGTTTTTGAAATTTGAAAGATTGGACTCTATAAGCAGTTGTAGAAAACAATTTATGAACCAGTTAGGGACCATTTACTTGGAAAATCAAGGTAGACCAACCAAAGACAAGGCAGATATTGCACATGAAGATCATAGGTGGCCCCCTTTGGGGAAAGATGGCATGAAATACAGCCCAGATCAGAAAAGTAAAGGACCCTGAGCATTAATTTTAGAATGTAACTGTCAAGATACTGCTGGAAAAGATAAAGCAAAGATCTCAGACCAAACCATACCTAGCTACTGGCTAGTTCCCTGTCACTCATAACATTGGCAAGTCTACAAAGCAGAGCACTCAATGATCTGATTCCTATATATGCAAACGTAGTATCTGATACTCAGTCTCAAGGGAGGTGACTGTGGCACCCAAACGCAGTGCCAGCTGACCTAGGGCATACTCACTGGCCTCCAGCTGCTGCTCTTCCATAGGTCTTGTGTTATATTTGCCAACCCAATATGGATGTTACTGATACACTAAGTCATCTAAAACGGCAGTATGAACGCCTGTAAATTCACAGCTTTAGGTCTCTTAGTAATCAAAGAGTGGTAACAGACAAAAATCTGTCAGAACTAGCTTCTGACAGCGTTCTTTCACAGTGCCCTTTTCCTATGTTGTGTCACCCTCAAGTCTTCCAAAAAACAGTTTCAACCCTTCACTTTGAGAATGCAGTATCACACAGCACCGATACAGCTACTGCTGTACCAAGAGCGTGGCTTCTTTTTTTCTGGAGTATCCAGATACCAGTAGCTGAATAGATGTAGACAAAGGTGAAACTCAGCTCTTTAAAAAATTTCGGATTTTCACAGTGATTTTTTTTCCAAGATTCTAAGTTAATTTACCCCTCTATAAATTCCTCATTTACAAATAGAAAAACAGTTTCAATAAAGGTTAATGCAGCAATCATAATTGGAGCTTTGAGTATGACCTGATAACAGATGTGTACTGCTTTAATGGTTCACTTCAAGATTAACTGTAAAGATGACAGTTAACTCATGCTAATATACTAATTACTGGAACCTTGAGGTGACAGCAAAAATAATTTTGACTTCTACTTGTTAATTACCTATTAGTAGTATATATGGAAACTATTAGAGCAAGCAGGTTGCAAGTCTAAAATCAATGTATTTTTGGATCATTCTTTGCCTATTCATTACAGATACAAAATGAAATTCTTACTCAATTAATTCCAACTGGGCAGGCTTGGGCCACCTGGAATAAACCATTTTATAGTTCTCTTGCTAACTGAAAATGGATTTGGGAGGCTGGCATGTAGTGGGCTTGTTCTTTTTTGGTTTATTTCCTTTGGAAATAGCAACTTGATATTCCTTGAAGGTTGAAAATATTCTTGTCTTTTTAGAATTCGGAACTGGAAAAATAACCAAAAGGTAACCTGGGATTCTCAAACTCTGCAAAAAAATATAAATACATATATACTATTTTTCAAACAAATAAAATAACCTGATAAGTAATTCTCCTCATAAATCCATTTAGTTCATTCTTCTTGTTTTACCGTTTTTGGGTCATGTCAATTGTACACTAAGCAGATTTCCACATTATGCATTTTTGATTTGTGAGAGTGCATGTGTGTTTGTGCGCATGTACGTGTGTGTGTGTGTGTGTGTGTGTGTGTGTGTAGACATGAGGTCCCCTCTCTCCTTCTCTCTCTCCGTCTTCCTCTCCTTCTAACTTAAAGCCTGGCTATTCTTGGTAACGACGGCTTCCTGTCTCTAGAAGGAAATTAGTCAGTTTGGGTATTGCCTCTATTTGTTTTAGCTAGTCACACTAAATATAATGCAAGATAATATCTCATTTAAAACTGTAGCCTATAATTCACCAAAAGAACATTTGCAATCAACAGAAGAAAAAAAGATGGAATTGGAGGAAAACCCTAAACAATTCGACCTCAACCAAATGTCAAATTTAAACCTGTTCCCATTCTCTCATAGTTTTGAAAGAGTAGTCACTTGCGATGACATGTAGTAACAATCTAAAACTTTTACTACTTAGAGTAAGATGAGTCCCAATAAGCTAAGCCTAAAATGCAGAAGAATTCCATTTTCTCGGCATGAGCTCCCAAAGCACTAAGTTGAGTCAGATGTGCTTCACAGTAAGCAAAAAAACTTCTTAGGAGCAAAATAACGGCAACATCAACTATTTAGCTTCATATAATAATATGAGTGCAGTTCACTAGCCAAAAATAAAAATGGTGGGTTGTGCATTTTACTGGTGTTATCTAGCATATAAATTATACGGAAAATTGCATTAAAATTTTTCAAATAGCATATAGTGAAGGGGGCCCACAGATTATCTCATCTGTTAACATATTGTAACATATTGGACATTTGTGTTTGCCTTGCCCTTTTCCTCAGCAGATTTTTATTTGTGTCAGTTACCATATGCTGGCCAGTGCAAGATAAGGTTCTTTTCTTTTTTTTTTTTTTTTTAAAGAGTTCAGGAGTGATTAACCAATGTGGTTGTTTTAGGCACAACAATGTATCCTGCAAAGTTTAACTCACAGCATGTAATTCAAATACGCTTGGCTTTCAAGATCATACAGATCCTAATTCTAAACCTTCCAAAAAATCTTGTATTGCTTCACAGAAGCAAAGGGATAGAAATTATCTATAAGACTTCCACTTTTTTTTTTCTTTTATTTTTCTTTTTTTTTTTTTTTTTTAAGATTGTGCAGTAGGAAGAAAGGTATTCAGCAGTTTAGCAAAATAAATTCTGGGCTTCTAGGAAGAAAAATGTTATATCCATTCAACAAATAATTGTCAACAAAGATATGCAACTCTCTCTTAATAATGAAACGCTGCAATTTATTTGGTATGCCACTTAGGACTTTTGGCTTACAGCCAAATTATGTACACAAAGCCACCCAACTGAGTAAGGCAGCACCAACAGCTGCTGCAATCTGCTATAACCAGTGCATTACAACACACTGGAGACAGCATCCATATAATATTTTGAAATTAATTATTCTTAGTTGGATGCTCTTGAATAATTTCAGGGCAGCACTCCAAATGATAACCCCCTCACCAGGGTGATACCTCAAGATCATTTGCCTCTGCAGGCAGCAAATATTTGACAGGTTTCCTTTTTCTGCAGCAAACCAAAGCTACCGTTTACACTGCACAAAACAGTTTTCTAAGGGAGATATGGCCAATCAGAATGAATGGCACTTGCAGCAACTGTTCTTTCACTCAAGTTTGCCTAGGCCATTCTTGTAAGCAAACAGCCACTTCAAA